AGAAATCACAAACAGAATGTGTGTGTGTGTGTGTGTGTGTGTGTGTGTTCTGGGTTTAGAAGACAGGAACTTTAAGCCTAGGTTGCTTTGGAAACAGAAGGGGGATCTTAGGGAGCAGGATCTAAGTTCCCAGGACAATGTCCATTCCTATAGAGACAAGTGATCCTGGCAGGGACAAGGACAAAAGACATGGGTCAGTGATTCCACATTTTAACAAGTGGTTAGACAGGCATGCTTAGGAGGAAGGTTCCAGTTGTAGCTGAGCTCTGTAGTGTGGATTTTGGCATGTAGGATGGACAGGGACATGCCGGAACCCAGGAGAAGTGAAGCTCGTCTCATAGTTCTACAGGAAGTCAGAGCAGCTGCTTGGGAGCAGTGGCCAGCCTAGCTGACAGTCTTTACAACTCTACCTCTAACACCCTGTTCTGGAGAGTTCTTGACTTTCAGCCATAGTTATCTCTTACCAGCAGTGCTCTCTGAGTGGTTAACCTAAGGTTAATCATGCCTGAACTGTAACCTGAACCTGGCCTTGCTTGTCACTAGGAGGGAAAGGAAAAAGGATGGGCCATGTGGACTGCTTGGTGGTCTTAACAGATGCCCTCATCCTTTCTGCTTCTCTTTCACCCTCTCACCGTCCTCTACCTGTCATTGTCTTGAGGTACTGGTTCTCAAACCAGACTGGTGTGTGGAATCATCTGGATGCTAGAATAGAAAGAAGTTCTAGGCCCCGCCCATGGAGACCCTCTAGCTGGTGTGGATGGGCACTTTTAGAGATAAACATCAAAGAACTGTGAAAAGATGGATGGAGGACTGAGGTCCTGAAGCACCGTTGATTTCTTTGTCCACATTTGGTTTTCTGTACTTCTGAGGGGATCGTGTATTTCTTTACAAACCTGAAAAGAGATTGACGTCATCAGAAACAAAACCCACATCTTCTCCTTGAGTGATCTTGCAGAAACCATTAATACCCCAAATGTGTTCCTCTTTTCCACAGGTGGACTTGACCTCATCTTCCTGCCAGGCCTCGGATTTGACAAAGATGGCAACAGACTGGGGCGGGGCAAGGGCTACTATGACACCTACCTGAAACGCTGTGTGCTTCATCAGCAAGTAAAGCCCTACACCTTGGCTTTGGCCTTCAAGGAGCAGATCTGTCCCCATATCCCAGCGAGTGAGCATGACATGAAGGTAGATGAGGTCCTGTATGAAGACTCCTCTGCATCTTAAGCTAGAGGATGAACAGCCAAATACTCACTGGTTTGTACCAAGACACAGAAAATCTCTGCTGGGTATGGTGACACATGACTTTATTCCCAGAACTTGGAAGGCAAAGGCAAGCAGATCTCTGTGAGTTTGAGGCCAGCCTGGTCTATGTAGTGAGCTCCAGGCCAGTCAGGGCTACATAGTGAGACCCTGTCTTAAAATGAAATTTAAAAAGGAAAATACATATATTTTTCCCCTTGTCAAAAATGAGTTTAAAATGGCACATTAAAGTGAATATGAGTCTATTTAAGTTGTTGATCTCTTCTTGGCTTAATTATGGTGGTTTGGATGAATCTAAAAAATTTTTTTAGGTTCTCTAGTGGAGTGCAGGTTTTTAAAGTATTCCTTTATAATGTTCTAAATTTCTTTGATGTCTATTGTAATGTTTCCCTATTCATCTCTGATTCTGTTAATTTGGACCTCCTATTTCTTTTCATTAACTGTGCTGAGTCTGTTCATCTTGTTTATCTTTTCAAAGAACCAGCTCTTAATCATGTAACAATATTAATTTAAAAAGAGATCTTGAAATTGAGGGGGAGTGTGGGTGTGGGAAGAGTTGGAGTAGGAGAAGGAGGTGTAGAAATGGTATGAATTCCATACTTGTACGACATTCTCAATTCTTTAAAATATAAAAAGTTAATATGAACCGCATTTTAGTGTAAATATTAAATATCTAACAAAAGAATCTTCGAAAAAATCAGTAGAAGTCTGAGTACTAGAATATTAATTCAAGTGGAGGTGATCGTTGCATGATTTTCAACTATTTTCCTGGTGTTAGGATAGTAAATTGATCTTTCTGCCTTGCAGCTTAAGTTAACCATTAATGAGGGACTGTACTCTGTAAGTATGAGAGGAAGTTATTAGGGGCGGATGCTGTATTTCATTCTGTCCTGTCATAGGCCTGATTGCTCTGGCATACAGGGACGCCTCTGTTATTAACTGATTGGTTGGTACCTGATATGACGTAAATATTCCTCGAGAATATTATACCACCTCAGAGCTGGAGATATGACTCCACAGTTAAGAGCACTGGCTACTCTTGCAGAGGACCTGAGTTCAGTTCCCAGCACCACATGGCAGCTAATAACTCCAGTTTCCAGGGAATCTGATGCCCTTTTCTGACTGCCACAGTCATTACACGACATGGATGCATTTACACACATGCAAGCAATACACTCATACACATAAAAGAATTTTTAAAAGAATATTGTACCTTTTTATCATGGCCTCATTTACTCAGCCTGAAATTTTACATGTGACACTTTTACCTTTGTGTGGTGACAGATGGGAACCTTTCGTTGTTTACATACTCTGATTCGGTTGATTGGTCCCCATTGAATCAATCTCTAGTGCTTAGGAGTTCAAGATCTAAGGTAGGAATCAGTTTTGTTGACTCGTGGTTTCCATTTGGAAATGAAAGTTGCCACAGGCTGGATGTTGGCAGATGGTCTCATAGCCAGGGAGAGATAATTTTGTATGTATGTGGGGGATGAAGATTTGGTTATCATGAGACACCCAGGGGTCTTTCTAGGCACAACTGCTTGCTTGCACCTCACCCCTAGCCAGCTCCTGCTGGCCTTACCTCCTGGACACCATCAGCATCTGTGCTCTCCTTCCTGTCATCCTGCTGCAATTTTACCCAACCCCAGCATTTCTCAGATGAACCAGGCAGGTTTCATACTTGGCGTCTTTTGCCTCCCAAGTTATTTCAGATTGATCTGATAAAATATAAATGCAAACATGGGCAATCCTGATTGGAGTATTCTGGGAACTGTGTGGCAGATGTCCTTCTGAACTCCTTAAAAGATGACCCACACCTTTTTTCTAGCCTCTTCTCCCTTCCCTCCTGTGTTCTCTTTCCATGCCACAGGCTTCCCCTGCCCCATGCAAGCCTACTTTCCTGTCCCAGTGCTATCTTCTTTAACCTTCCTGGAAACTGCTATGTGTCTTCAAGACTGTGCTCCTGCTTCACCTCTTCCATGAGCTCCCCCACTGCAGTTTCCCTTTTTGCTTTGTTTAAGTGGCTCTGTTTGGCTCATTTATCATGTCCTACATATCAGTGTCTAGTGTCCATGTCTGCCCTTTCACCAGGCTTTGAGCTCTAAAGAACTTCTGCTGAGTAGCTAACTAAATGTAGTTAGTACTCAAATACGTTTTTAAAGAGTTAATTCAGTATATTTAGAAGTACTTTATTTAAAATGCAGATATACTATTCTTTTACAAAATAGCATATAATTTATATTTCTTGCCCCAAAGTGTAAAAGAAAAAGCCTTTAAGAATGGAATGGGAATGATGGTAGATCTGTACAATTTAGGATATATAGTGAGAGATGGGAGAGAAAGGGAACTCTTACAACCTATAAAGACACACCATACTGACTAACAATCTTATTCAGTGTTACTTCAATTATAATGTTAAAGTCAGTGTTAATATAGTCACATGACTGTTGTGTGAAATAATTAAACCATAAAATTACTGAGCTACTGCTCTCATAGAAATGCAATAGTAATTTTGTAAAACAAAGGATTTGATATTTTCCTACTGTAATTCCTCAGCATGTCTAAGGATCAAAGTCTGGATTGCACTGTTTTAAAGTATTTCATTTAAAAAAAATGCTGCTGTAGACTTGAATTTCATAAAACAACTAAATTTTGGTTTGGGATTAGGACAGAATTGCAGCAACTTCTGAAATGGGCCTAAACATACGTCTCCCATTTCGTACTACCTGTTTATGTGAAGTGGCATTCTTAGTATTGGCAATCATAAAGTCAAAATATCAGTCAATCTGAAAAACACTGAAGACATTCTGTCCTGCAGTATCAAATATTCAAGAAAGCCTTAAGTCCTTGTGTAAAAATAAAGAAGTACATCTATCTCTTTAGTATGCATATTAGGTCTCATCTTTAATGAATCGTGTACAAAATAACCATTTTCAAATACGTTCCTTTATGATTTATTATAAGTAGATATGTACCTATTTTATATATGTGTGTGAAAATTTCTCTGAAAAGGGATCAGAAATGGAAAAACTTTAAGATGCCTGTTGTAACACATTCCCAGTGATTCCAAAGCCTGATTCCTGGGTCCTCTGCAAAAGCAGCCAGTGCTCTTATGCTGAGCCATCTCTCCAGCCCCCATTTTTACATTTTTATATATAATTTTTAAATTTCTTGGAATTTCATACATGACTGCCATATTTACTAATTTCCACTCCTCCCTCTCACCCCTCCAAATCCTCCCATGTTCTCCACGCTCCATCATAATATCCAGACCTCTACTTTAATTACTATCGTAACACACAAGTGTTGTGCATGCTGTCATAACTGATAAGTTCATTTGTGAGTATATGCTGTTTAAAATTGCCTGTTGTCTCTGGAAAACACTTCCCTCATAGCCATCACCACCTCTGGCTCTTACCATCTTTCTGCCCCCTATTCTGCAATGATTTCTGGGTCATGGGAGGAAGGGTCATGATACAAGTGTCCCTACGGCTGAGCATTCCAGTCTTTCACTCTGCATCTTGACCAGTTGTTGGTCTCTCTGTTAATTGTCATCTACTGTGAAAAGAAGCCTCTCAGATGAGCATCTGCTTCCAGGATCCTGCCCTGGTTTCTTTCTATAATGAGCTCTAAGCTGAAAGTGAAATAACCCCTTTTTCCCCAAAGTTGCATTTGGCCATGATGTTTATGATAGCAATAGAAAGTAACTAGGACAGAAATTTGTCCAGAGAGTGGGATACTGCTATAATAGACCTGACCACGTGTGTCTGGGAAGATTGTGGAAGTTTTTGGACTGGAAAGTGCCTGGAATTCAGTGAGTTATCCTATAGGAACATGGAAGACAACGTTGAAAGAGGTGTAGACAACGGAGGTATGTCTTGTGATGCTTCAGAGGGAAGCATGGAATTAAGAATTTTTGGAAGTGAAACCTTTTGTGCTTTACTGCGACAACTGATGCTGGTTAGCTGAGGCTGACATTCAGCTGTAACAAGATACCAGAATCATTGAGGTGAAATCTTCTGGGAAGTATTTCCTCATGGTCAGCACACAGAAGCTGTAGTCCAGAGGGGGCCAGAGGCTCCATTTCAAGCTCAAAGCAGGATTTGGCATGTGTAGGAGTCTCCTATATGGAACTGGTTTTAAAGGCATGAAGGAGGCATGGAGAGCAGCTGAGGTTTGGCACTGAGAGGCCAGGAGAGGCCATAAAGGTGCAGCCTCAGTTGCAGTGAAGACATCCAGGACTGCAGGGGTCATGGGAGAGAATCTGGGGCTTTGCATCTTGAGAGGCCAGGAGAACCAATTGGTGAAGGTACAGCCTCAGATTCAGTAGAGACCCCAGCATATTGGAGATGCCTGGACCATGGGATGACTACCAGGGGCAGCATCAGGTGTGGAGTGAAGCCAGCTGGAGTCTACAGGACAAACTGTGTGTGCTGTCAATAGCAAAGCCAGAGGAAGTGGAGCTGTTCAAGCCTTCTGGATCCCAGAAGATCATGAGTGAATCCCTAATGTCTATGCTGCTGAACTTTGGTTTTTCTTAGGTGTGTCCTGGTTCTTCAGCTTGGAAATAAGATAGTATATAACTTATTTTTGGTTTTACAGAAGCCCACAGTTGAGAGACTTTGGATTATTTTTAAAAGACATTGCATTTTTAAAGTGTTTCAATTTTTAAGGACTGTGGGACTTTTAAAGTTGTACTGTTTTATGTTGTAATATTAATATTGACATGAGATCTTGGGCATAAGCTATGGAAAGGCTGTGGTTTAAATAATAATGTGTGTGTCAAGTTGACAAGGGCCAATTGTTCTCAACAGCTTCAGTTGTCAACTTGACAAACCTGAGTGAAGGAAACCTCAATTGAGGAATTTTCTCCATTGGATCAGCCTGTTGTCATGTCTGTGGGGCAGTTTTCTTGATTGTTGAATGATATAGAAGAGCCCAGCCCACTGTCAGCTTGCCAACCCTGTCTACAGGTGGTCCTGTGTGGAATAAGAAAGCAGGCTGAGTATGGGCCAGAGGAGCAAGCCAGTAAGCCAGATACCTCCAGGATCTGTGCTCTAGGGCCTGCCCTGCCTTGGCTTCCCTTGATGATGGACTGTGAGCTGTAAGCAAAAAACCCTTTCCTCCCCATGTTGGTTTTAGTCATTGCTTTTATCACAGCAATGGAAAGTAACTAGGACAAATGGTCACAGGTAAAGTTCTACCTACAGAGATATTGTCAAAAGAAATATGTCTAATTTGCATCTTCAG